TATTTTGAAAAATGTTCAATTCTGTGGCTTTTGAAGCTTGTATTTTGAGACAATTTGTCCCCAGCATAACGTGCACACACACACACACCTAACAATTTGCCCTATGAATATTTTACGAGAAATCATCCTCCTGTACTTTTTTCCCACTACTACTTACATATCTGTGCATCTAAATTTATCCTAACTTAAAAACATACACTTAAACAATAATATATTCAGGATTTATTTTGGAGAAAGTAGGACTTAATTTGTTCCATGAGTCAGTTTTACTCATCCTTTTGAAGTGACATTTTATCTTTCCTTGACTTATAAAGGCAAGTTGTTCATAAAAATATAAAACAAATTATCATAAGTAGAATATTAAATCACGTTATAATAAAAAAAACTAATACAATTCTGAGCTCCCAAGTTGACACCAATTTGTCCACTTTTTCACCAGGTATTTATGTGACTATTACCATTTTATAGGTCATAGGGATACGATAAATAAAACAGATTAATAATCTACCCTCTCAGGTACACCATATTCTAACAGGAACACAGAAAAATGTATAAATGGAGAAAAATTAAGCAGAGGAGAAAAAGAAACCAGAGAAAGAAGGGATGGATAGTATAGAGCACTTCCTGATATTGTAAAGTCTTTTGTTTTTACTTGGAATGAGATAGGCAGGAAGATTTCAAGTAGAGGGTTTTTAAATAAGAAAATGACAACTTGGAAAATTGTCCTTCCCAAAGATGCAAAAGAGATTACAGCCAGAAATTGATCTGCATTTAAATTTTAAGAAAAAGCACAGCATTCTTTCAGCAGAATCACTTTTTTTTTGCAGTACTGAGGTTGAACTCAGGGCCTCACACTTGCTAAGCAGTTACTCTACTGCTCCAGCCTTTCCATTAGCCCTGTTGTCTTATTTTTTTGCAATGAGGTCTCACTATGTTACCCAGGCTGGCCTTGAACTCCTGGGTTCAAAGAATTTTCTTGCTTCCTTCTTCCTAGTACCTGGTGCATGCCACTACACCTGGCCCCAACAGATGCTTAAAAGTCAGACAGTGTTGCTCTTGAACTACAAGCGCTGTTCTTAAGCCATCCTGCTCAGAGTCCACTGATCCCTTCCTTGGGGAGTGTGCTTTCCTGTTTTCACTCACTTTCATTCTCATTAAAACTCTACTACTTTGCAAAACAACAAACAAAAAAGTCAGACAATCCACAACAGCCTCATACTCTTTCCCTTTTTATATTGGTTTTTGTGACAAGGTCTTATTACTGTATCCCAGGCTGACCTTGAACACACAATTTTTCTACCTCAGCTTCCTCAGTGCTGGAATTAGAGGCATGTATCACCATGCCTGGACCCTTTTTACATTTTTTAAGAGTTTGGGATTTAATTGATTGTGTCAATCATAACAACAAATTGGTTGTAAATGCAACTTAACATACCTATCTCAGAATATATGGTATATTCTTTAAACCAACAAATATCTTAGATATAATAATTATAATAATATAATAATTTCTAGTTGTGTAATGTTTGGAATTTTCATAAATTTTCTATATTGGTGAACACTGGAGAAGACATCTTGGAAATTATTAGTTAGGAGAGATTTACTACAGAAAGTACACAGCCACACCACAGAAGTAGACTGTTTCCAACAGGAGTCCTTTTAACACCTGATCCAAGATTCTTTTCAGCCTTTGAAATAAGTATCTCAAGGAGCCAGCCAAACATGAACAGCAGTCTGTAAAGGCCCAGGTTTGACTACACCACTAAGATCATTCAAGTAAGATCTACCCTCCTTTTCCTCTGTCAGAAAAGCCCCACTCTGATTTCCCTAAATCACTTTGATTCTTTTTCAAGCTTCTCAACACCACAGCAGAAGGTGAAGAGGTCTTCCCATCCAGTTGGATGGGGAAGTATAGAAGACCACTCATGTGTAAGACTGCATAGGCTTAGCTCCTAAGCTGCAACTCCCTCTTCTATCCTTCCCCAAATTCAGAAATATTTATGATGAATAAAGCTTGCCAAGAGGTCAGGATTAACTCAAAGACTTCAAAATACACACACACACACACACACTCATACACTGGAAGGGTAAACTGGTAATTTAGCCTCCAACTAAATCCTGGAATTCTGGTTTTCTCATGAGGAACCTGTAAGAACTCTTCAGGCCATTTTTGGGAACTTTGCACACAAATACATGGCTAGATAGCTTAACCTTCAGTTTAGCCTTTCACCTCCTTCAGCTCCCAATGGCTGCAAATGCCCACAGTCTTTGGTTGGTATGCTGGCTGGTAGATAGTTTTCCTGAGTGGAACACCAGTTGAGGACTCAGACTTAATTACATTTATTGATATTACCTGACCCATAGGAAACTTACCTTGCCATTTCAAATTGTGAGAAAGTAAATTGATCTACTATAAGTATAACCACCTTTCCCAACTTTTTTCCTACTTAGGTAGCCAGAGAGCAGATGAACAAGTCTGCTGCCTAAATTAACACCCAATCAGTAAATGAAATGTCTTTCCTTCCAGAAAACATCTCCAATCAAGTGATTCTTTTGGTAGAAAACGTGATGTTGGGACCAGGTCTGCCATGTCTTAATCATCCTTCAAGGTGTGGGAGAATGGAAGGTGAGATTCTGGTTATAGCCACTGCCAGATTTCTTTATACTAACAGGGCATAATGGTGTACACCTGTAATCCCAGCTATGAGGGAGGTGTACATAGGTGAACACCAGACTGAGATTGCCTAGACAAAAATGTAGGACCCTGTCCAAAAGAATAACTAAAGCAAAAAAGGGCTGGGGGGTATGGTTCAACTGGTAGGGCATCTGCCTAGAGGCCCTGAGTTCAGATAGCAATACCACAAAAACCAAAAACAAACAAACCCTTAGAGGGGCTGGAGGTGTGGCTCCAGTAAGAATGCTTCCAAGCAACTGAGAGGCCCTGAGTTCAAACCCCAGTACTACTACCACACCACACACACACACACACACACACACACACACAAAGCATACTCTATGGGTTTTTAAAAAAACCTTAGCATTTCCTTGACTCATTGTTCTGAAGCAACCAGGAGGCAGTGTATAACTGACTCAATGTGTCTTGAGACTGAAGAAAAGAGGCAAATTGATCCAGAAGCTTGTTCCTAGGCAACAGCAAGATCAGGTGGATCCCTACAATTTGGATCTCAAAAGTGACTTCATCCAAAATGGAATATACCTAGTTTGTCTTAAGCTAGTATCAAAAAGTCAGGCACATTCCTGGTGCCAGGCTCCAGGTCCACTCTAATGGTTTGGTCTGTTTATAGTCTGTCATGGAACTATTCAGGAAAAAAACGGTAAGCCCAGCTGGTGGTTACAATTCAAGATGGCTATGTTCACATCAAGCTGAACCCATACACTTCCCTTTGGTACCTATCTAGTTACAGTATTTTGGAGAATAGGAAATATTCTGTCTTTACATATATATATATTAAAAAGCCCAGCACATCCATATATGATAGATGGAAAGAAACTACTAAATAGGGTAACCATAGTACACAAGCAAATCCACCTTTGCTGTGTATGCATGTCTGTAGATACATGAACTCACTGCAAAACAAGCAGGAAACAGGAAGAGAAGGATCAGATTAACTGATCTTTTTTGCTAGTCATCAGAATTGCTAGTCACCAAATTCATGGTAAAAATATATAATCTCATGATCTCAGTAAAAATCCCAATTAAGTTGCTGGATTTAAAAAAGAATGCTCAGACAATAAAATGAATAGGGAGGAGGGAAGATAAATATTTCTAAATCTTGAAAGGGAAAGTTATTTAGCATCCTGGCACAGAATCACTTGCAGGAAAAATAGACAGTTACCCAATAAAAGTATCTGAAAATATTTTGCATCAAAAACCTTGTCCAGATGAATCTAATCTCTGCTCTTAGAAATCTAATACTTTGTATTTCTTGAAGAATATAAAGGTAGTTTTCTTTAAAATGTACTCTTAATGTCCCTCTCAGTCTCTTCTTCATCCCATACCATTTTAGACATTTACAGAATAAATTTAAAATCACCATGTTTTTCAAAAGTTAAAAACCAGATACACAATGCTTTATTCAATCAATAAAACAAATAGTAAATGGTCACAGAACAGAGGGCACATAAGTTGTGGGTTGGAGGAATAATCACTTTCTAAATCTATCCACCATTATCAGCTTAAAAAAAAAGTAAGATTTTATTAAAACAAAAACCCAATAAAACATAGTCCAATGATGTTTTCAATGTGTCTCCTGTACCTTCAAAGCAAAAGGCTAAATTATTAGCAGCATTCACATCACTAAATCTTCCCCTTCTTCAACCTTGAATATTACATTTCTTTGAATGAAAAGAAGCACTAGCTGCAACCACGGCCTATGAAAAAGACTACCATTTTCTTCAAGGTTCATGGCATCTTTTACCGGAGAAAACCTATCTTGTGCTAATCAGCTGTTTTCACTCAATCTAAGGGAGCACCCAAACACAAGAGCAGATGTGTAGCATTTTTCTAATCATCTCCAATAAGAGGTTGTTAAATCTACTTGAGATGGTAATCATATTTGATTTTGTCCCAAAGTGCAATCAGTGCTAGCAATGTCTAAAAGCTTCTGACATAAATCTGTCACCTATGACCCAATTCCACACCCTTATGAAATCAGAATTTTTCATTATCAGTCCAAAACTTCAACACAATTACAAGGTAAGTGCTCCCGTCCACCTTACTTACTTGAACACTGCCTGAACATGCATCTACTAAACAAACTGAAAAACTTCCAACTTAACCACTCTGGGTCAGTTTAACAAACTTACATCTTACTTGACCCTCTCCCTTGCATTTGAACCCTAATCCTATCCCTTGAATTCAGTCCTCTTCACTGACCTAGTCTGCCATTTATTTCTAAGAAATCATTCCCTACCCTGGAGTTGTCCTATGATCTTAACATACTAATGAAATACCATAATAAAAAAGATACATAAAATACAAGATGAAAAATTTTAATACTAGTCAACAAATTTACATTGTCAATATAAAAGGAAAATTATAAAAACTGTATAAATTGCTCATTAGAAGTGTACATATAGGCAATTGATATAAAGATTTTTCCCAAACTTTTCATGCTTCCATAATTGTAACTAAATAGAATGATTAAAGTGAAATAGCAAATTGTTCACTCTAAAATCTAAATGCATACTTTGAATGACCTCCTTATATATCAATATTTAAAGTTTTTAATGTGATAAGTGAGCTTGCTTCTTACTTGTTAATTTGTCTAGTCTAGGTTGAATTGATGACAGTGCTACTCTCAGGGGATAATGTATATTTAAACTGTTTCTATGTTTTGTTTTAATAACACTTAAAGTAGAGAACCCTGTCTCACAGAGGTATGTTGAGGGGAATAAAAGAAGAGATTTTAAAGCAATCTCAGCAAGCCCAGGATATTCATTTTTCACTTTTATCCAAAATGAAGCAAGTGATGCTGTATTTTCAAATTTTATTTTCAATGTTTCATCAGCAGCCAGCTCTAACAACTTGTCTTGTAGGGTTACAGTTAAATTTAAATTATCTTTTGATAAAATAAATGGATTTTGGATCCATGCATTTCCTATACGTGGATCTTCTTTAGATGGAAAATAAAATTCAAGACACTCTAACAAATTTGTAAGATGTTCATTAATAACTTTTTGCAGATGTGCCATATGGAGATCATTACCTACTTCATTGATAATCGTTGTTAAATTATGGAACATGTCATAGCAATTTGTGGAGATTCTGTTTTTCCAGCTTTCTAACTTTTGTTTCTGTCCTTCAATCTTATCTGCCATTGAAAAACATGTTGAACTCTTTCCTTGCATAGACACATTAAGATCATTAAAAATACTAAAGATATCAGACAAATACGCAAGTCTGGCTATCCAATTCACATCTTTAAAAAGTTGAAACCAAACAGGTTTTTTGCTTTGTAGAAACACTAGGAATTCATTTCGTATTTCAAATATTCTTGACAGAACTCTTCCCCGTGATAACCATCGTATCTCAGTGTGCAATAACAGTTGCTTATGATCAATTTCCATATTATCACATAATAAAGAGAATAATCTTGAATTTAGTGCATTAGATTTTACATAATTCACTATTTTCACTACATCGGTAAGCACACTATTCAGTTCACCTGATATTTTTTTCATAGCAAGACCATCTTGGTGAATAAAGCAATGCATTATTTTACATTCTGGTACAAGTTCCTTAATCTGGGTAACCACTTTGGAATGTCTTCCTGTCACTGAAGCTGCACTATCAGAACATACTCCTACACAAAACCTAAATTCCAAGCCACATTTGTTAACAATGTAATTCTTTACAGCTTCATACAGTTCTGAGCTAGTTGCATTTGCAGGTAAAGAGGCTGAAAAAAAGAATTCTTCCTTTATATCATCATCATGTTCAAACCTCACATAGACTAAAAGAATAACCATGTTAGCAATATCTCTGCATTCATCAAGTTGTAATGAAAAATACTTTGCTAGCTTTATTTGTTCTATGAGTTGGTCTTCCATATCAAGAGCCAGTTCCTGAATACGTCGAGCTATGGTGTCATTGGAAAGTGGTACCTGAGCTACCTTCTTTGCTGCAGATTCACCCAACATTTCCAAGCAAACCTCTTTGATGCAGTCTTTCACTAGGGTCTCAGCAATCGTGTATGGTGTTTTAGACTTAGCAACTGGAAGTGCTACTTTATATGAAGCCCGCAAAGCATTAATGTTTATATGGGAAATGCTGAATACCTGCTTTGGTTGACGTTTTAATTCATTACTCTTTCTTTCAAAGAATTCTTTTGGTTGTGAACTTATTTCTTTATGTTTTGAATATAAATGCCGCTTAAGTTTTGATGGTTTCATTGCTTCATTAGCCAATACATCTCCGCAAATAATACACTGTGGTTTTAGTACTTCGCCATCAATTGTAGCTACAAAACCAAACTCAATATATGAGGGATGATATTTCCGAGTAAAACTAGTATGAATTCTTTTGGCTTTTACTTCTTTGGAATGATTGATATTGTTACCACTTCTTTTAACACTGCTGCATTCATTAAAGGTGTGTTTTTTCTTGACGAAAAAGTCCAGTGCAGTTTGTTTCGCCATCTGCAAATTAGGATTAAAAAATAAGGTAAATTTTACTTCTCTCCTAAGCTAATAATGTTAAACTGGGCTTGATTAAAAAGAAAAGATTTAAAAGTAAGTCATAAAAATAAAATAAATGCTTACATTTTCTGAGCTTTACATACTTGGGTTACAATTGATAAACTAAGTGTAAAATCGCACACATGTGAGCTTAATTGTGTCTGACCAGTGCACAGTTACCATCACATGACTCACCTGGAGTTTAACAACACCCAAACTGGTTTATATTCTCTTCAGTAAAGAATCCATTAATCAGTGTGCTTGGATGTTACAGCAATGTCAAGTTGTTACAAACATTTCTAAATACTCTCAAATTTTATGCTTATCTCATTATGGACTGATAAAAATAGCTTGCAGACCATCACTGGTCTGCAGATCACACTTTGAGTACTGCTGGCCTAAAACATGGGTAACCTCCACATTTCAAAACATTAGTTCTACCTCGTAAAATCTGATTTAAAATCGTTTAGGCTTTGTTTCATGTTCTCTATTTAAATCCCACAACTGAATTCTCCGAACACAAATCCCAATCTTCCAGTTACATTTATCATCTATTATCTCTCCCATGTATTTTCTTATTTGATTCAAAATGTCCTTTCTTAGCTTAGCTCCCCATCCAAACTCACAAATAATTGAAAAAAAAAAATTGAATTCATCTATTCTGGGGTAGGCATGGTGGTATATGCCTATAATCTAACTACTCAGTTGGCTGAGGCAGGAGGATATCAAATTCAAGCCCAGCCTGGGCAACTCAGTAAGACCCTGTTTCAAAATAAAGTAAAAAAGGGATGGGGATGTTAGCTCAGTAGTAGAGCACTTACCTAGCATGTATGAGACCCTGGGTTCAATCCCCAGTACCAATCTCCAGTACTGAAAAGAAAACTGTTCCCAATTCACTCTTCTATAGAAACATAACATCCTATACACCATCTACCCTCTCAGTCTTAGCTTTCTCATTCCTCCAGAAGCTGCCTGACATCAGAAAGCAGTAAAGAGATACCGTTCATCATCACCCCATTTTAGGCAGCATTCAGTTACAACTTTCAGCTTGAAAAATTCAAGCATAGGCACTAAAACTAATTAGCCTTTTGGGGAAAATATATGCAAGGTGGCCAAAATCTGTTTTTGTATACCTTGCCAAATAATTCTTATTCATCACAGTAAAGTTTAATGAGGCTTTTCTCCTGCTTTCATTTATAGCAGATACTCAAATTCTTACCCAGTCTCCTACCATGTGTGGTGAAAACAGTGTCTCTGATGTTTTTAACATTTTGGAGGGTTGAACAGGCAAACCACTTTGAATGTCATCATGTTTCCTTTTCATTGTACTTTTCTTATAACAAAGGTTACAAGTTATGTGATGACCATAGCTCTCAGCCTCATGTTGAGAAGGAACTCCACAGGTTGCATGGACATTTCCAAGACAGGATATGCAATTATGAGCACCTGTGCATTCTTTTTCACAAACTACACAGGATAAAAATCTTAACCTGTTTTCAGGAAGGTCTTTCTCAGCAACCTTGGGGATAGAAATATTTTCTTCAAGATCACTACTATCTGTTTTAGTCTCAATGTTTTCTTCATACTGGGCTCTCGAAGTATTTTCTAACTCTTTGTTGGCCTGATCTAATTCATTCTCTGTGTGCAGTCTGGAAACAAGTTCTTCAGTTAAATGAGAATGGGACAGGTCCAGTTTAGCTTCAGAACTAAATGTACCTTTACATGGAGTCTGTTGCATGCCTCTGTGATAGGGTTTGTTTTGGGTCATCTGAATGAACCACAAAAATTCAGCCCAGTGTGAGGACTTGTTTGCTTGCATCCAGGAGAAAATTCTCTTTTGGAATTCTTCATTAGTTTGTTTTGTAGAACTCCGGTTTTGGCAGGCCTGAGGTTTCCCATGGACAATTTTGAGTTCTGGCCAAGTATCACTGAGTTTATTAACAATCTGCCTTGCAAAGTTCCTCCCATTGTTGGATTGTAACACACTGGGTGCTCCAGTAATTGTAAAAATATCTAAAAGAGCATCTGCAACTTCCTTAGGCTTTTTAGATTTCAATGGCCGCAAAAAATTTAACTTTGTGTGAAGGTCTTGGTAATGCATAATAAACTTATACTGCCCATCAGGATTTGATTGCATGTCTATGAGATCTACCTGACATCTTGAGTTAATTTCCTTAATTGGTTTTGATGTTAGAGCTCTCTTGAACTTGGAAGGTTTCTGTTGGCATGGTTTGCAGAGTGTCAGGTATAGCATTATAGCTTCTTTGGTGATGTTCTTATATTTTGCTTGTAACACTTTTTCCATACGGGCACATCCACCATGTCCAATGCTAAGATGTGTATCATGTAGAATGTCAAATACGTCCTCACTGTGTAAATAATACCGTCTTCTACCTCTTACATCAGTTACAGCCTCAATCAACTTTTCATCTCCATGAACAAGGACCACATCAAACTTAGCCAAGCGACGGTAGTCCACTGATTCCTTTTTTGTCTTAGTTTTAGCCTCTTTTACTTCCCTTATCAATTGACAATACTTTGCTTTAGAAAACATCTTACTGTTACTACTTTTGTTTTCCAGTAACACTGCTAAGGTTTTGAAGAATTTTTTTCTCATATTTTCTGGTTCAATTTCTCCTTCGTAAGTATCTAGGTTACTGAGGTTATCATCACCCATGCTTGGAGACATCATGGAAAGCCACAAAAATGACTCTAAAATATAAAAGAAAAAAAAATCAGTTAGCATATTTAGGAATATAATTTAAAATACATGTATTACCCAAGTAGCCAGTAGAGCCTTGAGTGAAAACAGAGCATTATGGACAAAAGAAGGATACAATTTTTGTTAGGGAGTCTGATCTTATCAAGATGAACAGAGAGTGAATGAAGAGTTCCACCCAGGAACAAAGTTCTGATACAGTGAAGAGTAGAAAGCTAGGATGTGACTTTCCAGAACAGTATACAGGGTTACCTTTAAAGTAAAGCATTCTTTTTATGTAAAGCAAGAAGCAAATTAATGATTGTATTTATTTCCTACACAAGAACTGTTTTTTTTTTTTTTTGCTAGAGAAACTTCAGCAATTATTCTATTACTTCATTAATAGATTTGTTTTTTAAAGTTCCAGATTCCAACCACATTTTCTGTTTTATTCAGTCAGGGTAGTGGTAAATCAACATTTTAGGCTTAAGTTCCAACATTCAACATTGTAGGCTATAAAGCTACAAACACAGTACAAATATCTTAATTACTAACTTTAATAAAGTAAGAGTAGTTGATGAGTCTGAAGTAATGAGAAATGTCTGGCTTAATAAAGCACATTAAAGAAAATGTTTAACCTAATTCATAGTAACATAAACTTAGAATACTTCAAACTTGGCTTACTGAGTCTTAGAAAACTACTTTGAAAAAAAATAAAAGAATAATTTAGAATTAGTATATCCTTCCAGGCAAACTTAAGAGCTCTCTCTCAGGCCAGTTCTTTTAATATTGCTAATTTACATACCATATATTAAGCTAGATTTTTTTTCTCTTTTTTGCAGTACTGGGGTTTGAACTCAGGGCCTTATGCTTGTTAGGCAGGTGGTCTACCACTTGAGCCATTCTGCCAACCCAAGCTAGTAGATTTAAATCATTCTCAAATGTTTATAATTTCCAAAACTAGATTAAAATTAATAATTTGTTACTAGGTTTTGGTCTCACCTAACTCCCATTAGTCCAATAAGACTTCCATGATTACTAAATTTAAGTCATAGTGAGATCTCCTTTCTTTTTTTGCAGTGCTGGGATTTGAACTCAGGGCCTATACCTTTAGCCACTCCACCAGCCCTTTTTTTTGCTATGGTTTTTTTCAAGGTAGGGTCTTACAAGCTATTTGCCCAGGCTGGCTTTGAACCATAATCCTCCTGGTCTCTGCCTCCTGAGTAGCTAGTTTTGCAGGCATAAGCCACTGGCGCCAGGCTCTTTCTTGATAAACATAATCTACTTATAACTAACAAGTTAGCACTAAAGAACTTTCTTCTTTAACTGCTTCATAGGCAGATCTAACAAGATGATAACTTTCTAAAGAAACAGGAATCACTTATTCCTCTAGTATCTTTCACATTATCTACTATATTACTACACCTAGAACTGCTCAATATGAATTGGTTGACTATGCTGGGTGTGGTGGCTCAAATATGTAATCCTAGCTACTCAGGAGGCAGAGATTGGGAGGATCACTGTTAGAGACCAGTCCAGGCAAAAAGTTCTCAAAGTCCCACTGCAACCAAAAGCCGGACAGGGTGGTGCTTGCCTGTCATCCCAGTTATTTGGGAAGTATGAAACAAGAGGATCTTGGTCCAGGCTGACCTGGACATAAACATGAGACCCTATTCCAAAAATAACTAAAAGCAAAATGGGCTGGCTTAAGTGGTAGAGCACCTGCCTAACAAGTTAAAAGCCTGAGTTCAAAACCCCAAGACCACAAAATAGAAAAAAAGTTCAGCTGACTAACTTTATAATAAAACAACAATGCTCATACTGCTATCTTAAAATACAACAGAAAAAACATCATATCCTCATATTTCACTCTATGCTGATCCATTTTGTACCATGTTATGAACTATGAGCAGAAAAAGAAGGTAAACAAGGGTAAATTTGGGAAGGAAAATAGGTTTATGTAAATGAGAACCAGGAAAATGTGAGCACAAGAATCAATATTAATAAGTCTAGAAAAAATGGAGAATAGGGACTTGCTAGGGCTATAAGACAAGAAAAACTTTTTTTTTCTATCACACTTAAGTCTTTAAAAAAAGACAGCTGCTCCAGAACCAGGCTAGCCTGTGCTCACACCTATACTACACATTACACCCATAATAGACAGACCTTAGAACACTAATGGAAATAGACTCTGGAAATTGTTTTGTCCAGTATAATTTTTAAATAGTATTTCCAAGTCTTATGCAACCATTAAGTGACAACATCTGTGGGGACAACAGATGGGATCTATGTTGACACTAACAAGTACTCAATATTTACATACCGAGGTATCTCTGTTTTTCCACAGATGTTAACTCCACTGCTAAATACCCATGGAGAATCTTGTTTAAGTATTTTTGACATTATTACCTGACTGCTTAATTCAACTCCAGTAATAACATAATAGTACACTGGTTGGCTTTTCTTTCAACTACATTCAGTAGAAGCTAAACTGGAATGAGGTTTGGCAACTTTTTAACAATTCCCCCCAAGTCTCCAGTATATTTCCCAGTGGTAAATTATCCTCACCTTTATCTTGAGGTGGGTGTGGTTCTGGAGATTCACATTCCATTCTGCCTTCCATAAACTGGAGCTGGGTATGTAAGACTCCCTTTGTAGAATCCAAAGGAGCCATTTCTTCCACAGGAACTTCCTGCTCATATGTGTCCTGTGAGACCTGGGAAGAAATATGTACATTTGGTAACCAATAACTGTACAAGCCATAGCAAAACATTCCCTAATAAACAGAACAGGAAAAGAAGAAAATCAGTCTTCATTTAACTCAACTTCTTTAATAAGATTATTCCTTCACCTTTTTCCGTACTTGTATCCCCTCCCAATAGTTCAAAACAATTAAATATATTTATTCACTTGCTCCAGACTATATTAACACATAAATCACTTATATAGACTTCGTGTTCTAGTATATGTCCACAACATGCCTACTAAGTAAAACTTGAATTTATCTTTATAGATTTGTAAGGGAACAAGTATGAGGGAAAATAAAATGGTGGAAATGTCCCTAGGAACAAATGGCAATCCCGGGATGTAAAGAAACAAAGGGCAGAAATAATCTAACCCTGGGGAGATAAAGGGAGATGGCAGAAGTAACTTTGTTTCAGATAAAGGAGATAACTGAGAAACCAGCTTCACACACAGGTGCTGAGGCACAATAGTTTCTCTTCCTAGATAAGGAAAACAGGTAAATCATTTGTAAAGGCAGACATCTAAAGAGATGAGATACAGACCACTAAAAGGAGAGTAACATAGCAAACGTTTCCAAGATAAACAAAGAAAGGGAACTCACCAGAATAATGGACAGTAATCATAAAATGTAGGTGATAAGTTTCAAGGACAGGATGAAGTAAAGAGACCCTCTTAAAATCTCCTGTCCTGATAGGGATAGGCAGCCCTGGGGTTCAACAAGAAATTAATCAAACAGCCAATTAAAGCTAAAGCTTCGAAACAGAGTGGGTGCTGGTGCCTAAAGTCAGGCCCCTATTTAATCTTACGAATTTCAGCCACTCTTTGGCTTAGCTCTTTCACTAAGTCCCACCCATCAGGGTGTTTTCCTATCCTTTCAATAAACTTACTGCTTGCTTTACTCTTAACTCCTGGTCTGTGGCATAAAGTTGCTTTATCTCTTAACTGTTTGTCCAGTGCCTTCAATCATCAACTGCACCAAGGCATGAACTTGGGGAACAACAATCCAGTCCAGTATCAGATTTATACGTCCATATACAGTATCCCACTAAGTGTATATAGTCAGAATATTGTGCTCAAGTCATCTGGATTGTCCTTTTGTTTTGCTATTAATATGATATTGTTTATCACTTTGAATTTATTTTTAAAATACATAAACATTTACATGGTATTAAAAATCAAAATATATTGGGGTGACAGAGTGGCTCAAGTGGTGGAGTCCCTGCCTAGCAAGCATGAGACCCTGAGTTCAAACCTTGGTACTGCCGAAACGAAAAGAAAAAAAAAAATCAGAATACAGCTTCAGAAAATTCATATAGACCACATTCTATCTCATAAGAAGCTATTATGTATAAACATACTTATATACATATTTGTATGTTTATGTGTATATATTTACAAACATATATACAAATTGAATACAATGTATGCATACTTATTTTTTCTCCTTTCATAGCATATATATTAGTTCACATCTTTCTTTTCCCATTAAATGTAAAATCTGATGTGAAAATTATTTCATACTTATTCAGATTATCTTCCTCATTCATACAATTTTAAGTTTGCCTAGGACCACATAGTAGTGTACCATGGTTTGCTCAATCACTTGTTTGGATGGCATTTAGATTTGTTTTGCTTTTACAAATTGTTGGGGAACAGGCATGAACCCTGGACTGGGATATAATGGAGTTTGCACAGCCTCCCCATATAGAAGTTTGCACAGCCTCTTCTACCATAATTTTCCCAGTACCTAGTGTCTTGACCTTTGTTCTCACATCTCATTGAAGAATACAACCTGCTGAATCCGCATACCAGCCCCCAGTTGCAAAACCAGATAAAGTACCAGAACTGTTAGGAGACTCTCTGATGCCAGATTAATCAATACCTTAGATAAGGTGTCCTGAGTGCCTTGATTCCAGAACTGATGTGTTGCAATTAAGCTTCATTAGCCTTAGGACAATTAGCCCACCAAACCTCATTCGTTTTACTTTGTATCAAGAATTGTTAAAGCTTGATTTTTACCTGAGTCTTTTCGTTGTACTGTCCTATAAAAGTAAACACTCTGGCTCAGGGAGGTGCTCATATTTCCCACCAGGAACGTGCAGCCCTCCCAATGCCAGAGTTCTGTTTTATGTTGTATGTTTGTATGTATGTGTGTGTTTCATTTCTTGTTCACCTGTAGCTCTTAGGCTCATGCAGCATATCCACGCAGGCCAAGGCAAGTGGCGCCCAACGTGGGGCCTGACTACAAGAGAACTCATTGGACAAGGCAAGGGAATGCTCTCCGAAGCACTCGTCCACAGGAAATAAGGTAAGGGGAGAATGAAATTCTAAATATAGTCAGGAGTAATAAATATGGGACAAACTAGATCTAAAGAAAGAGATCGCTATGTACGTATGTTTAAAACTAGAGATAAATCTAAAGTCTTCAATGTCTAAGAGTGCACTCAAAATTAATGAAATTGTTTTGTTTCATTGTGTAAATTTTGTGTATATTAATGTATTTGTGTGAGTTTTGTGTATGTCTATTGTGTAACTTATTAGAGACAAAAAACTGATAGCTATGGCAACAGTCTATTAAAAACTGAGACTTACTCAAAACACTATTCCTAAAATTGATTCTTGTCTCAGCTGTTAAGCTGCCCAAAATAAGTCCTAAAAGAACAGAATGGGACACTTCTCAATCTGCTCCTAAAAATTAAAAAAAAAAAAAAAAAACTTATCAATGTACTGTGGCCACTTAGTTAATTTTTACATGTTCTTGTGCTCTTGAATCTACACACACTTAAATTGACATTTATGGCATGCCTAATTTAAAACCTTTTTTACATACATGTATATTTAAATATCTTTAGAATTTTTTAATAAAATTATTGTAAAGAAATACAATAACTTCTGTTCTCTTCTCTCCCCCCACCTCTTCTGCTGCTAATTTTAAGAAAAACCAGTTTTTTAAAGGCTATGTTAATCAGGTCTAACTAATTACAGGCATTATTTTATGGACAGTAACCTTAATCTGTTTCATTTTGTCATAGGTGTTTTAATTTACATTCAATTCTTTTATAATTAATCTATTAACAAAAGGTGTCTTTAAAAATAAGGCTAATTGGAAAAACAATTTTATTTAAATTTAAAATTCTTAAAAGTTCTTTTAAAATACAAGTTACAAAGTGAACAAGCAGAAAGGATATAAATAGATATTGAGTGTATATTTTGGGAAAAAATTAAAGGAAAAAAGGAATGTTTTTAGATGAGAAAGGATTTTGTAAAGAAGGGTTTGTCCTAAAGATTGTTTCAAATATGGAGAGGAGGGATAAGGACAAACCATCAAAGGGTTTATTATGTTGTATGAAGGTCTGAGTAAGTTTTAAAAGTGTATAATAAAAAACTTCAGTGTGTGACAAAGTTAAAGTTGACTATAATCCAAGAGTTGCCTAAAAGAATGTTTTTAGGGTCGTGTTAAACTAAAATCTAATTTTCTATGTCCATAAAATAATAAGGCTATCTTAATATCATTCTGCTCTGAGTAACATCTACAAAAAATTGTTATAGGGAAAGATTTTATCAAAGTAATTGTGTTTTCTGTTGATCTTGTCAAGCTTTAAGTACTGCTAAATCAGTTCATTTACATATTTGCTCATGCAAAGGTCTCTTAAATGACCACCTTATAACTGTGTTCTGTGTCTATACTTTACTTAAATATGGTACAAACATTTAGAAAGTTTAAAGTGCCAGTTTATGTAAAATGATGAGCTAAAGCTCTCTTTTATCCAAAAGTGTTACATTTAACTGACCAGTTAAAGTTGTTTATCCAAAAGCATTGCATCTAAACCTTTGACATATAAAATGCTTAATGAAATGTTTGGCAGGTATGCTGCTTATAATCAGTAACATTCAGAAAAACCTTGCCATTTGAGCAATCCTGCTACTTAAAACCTGGTCTATACTAGTTTTAGTCAAATAAGTGTTACTGCATATGTATAAAATGTAACTATACATCAAAAAATAAGGCTATTTGGGATCACAGGCATTGGCTTCCTAACTTGAAGAGTTCTAAAGTTAATGATGCTAGACTTTTACAAGCTTGTGTCCACATGTTCCTAATTGTTAACAAGGAGCATTTAGTGCTGCTGTTTTAATACTATCAGTCATAATTATTCTAAAATTGCAGTCTACAATGGAAATAACTAAATATTCTGACAATTCCCAAACTACTTTTCAGTATTTTAACCATGGCTATTCTAAGTCTTTTCATTCTCAGTCTGGGTCCTTCTTCAGGGCATTTGCAATTACCCAATACCTATTTTCAATTGTGTCAGCCTTCTAAATATTTACTTTTGTTGGCTTTTTTCAAAACCTTTAACTGTTGTCTGTTGACATTCTGCAGCATTTTTAAGTTGTCAGGATCTCGTCTGTAGTCCAGCCAGAACTAAAAATGGATGCCACATAGCCAACTTCTTCTAAACTTTTGTTGTTTATAATTTAGCCAAATGGTCCTTATTGTAGCTCCAGATAAGGTACAAAAACAATCTTCTTTTCATATTTGGGACAGCTTATTGAGGGACCGACTATCTGCACCCCCTAAAATAGAAATCTATAAAGATAATTTTAAAAATTTAAATGATTTTCAAAAATTATAAGGTGATATAAACTGGCTATGTCCTGCCTTAAAACTTACCACCTGTGAGCTGTCTCCTCTCTTTAAAATTTTACAGGGAGACACTCAACCATCATCTCCTAGATATCTCACACCAGAAGGTCGTATGGTCCTGGCTAAGGTTGAACAAGTATACATAACTCTCAGAGAACTCATGATTATTCTCAACCAATACAACTTCTTATTTTACATACTGCAAGTCTACCCACAGGAGTTCTTTGGCAGACTCAGGGAGTACTAGAGTGCTTACATTTACCTCACTCCCCTGCTACCATAAGATGGTAGCAAAATTAATCCATGGGACGTTTTCGCACTGTACAACTGCTAGGACTAGAACCATCCCTTATTATTGTCCCATTTACCAAGAAACAACAAGCTTGGCTATGGTGTACTGATACCATGTGGCAAAATGCATTGGCAAACTTTACAGGACAGCTTGGAGAACATTTGCCTTCCTCTAAACTTCTTAATTTTGCTTCTAAACATGCTGTTGTATTTCCTCAAAATATCCGAGACGATCCATGTAGTTTTGATTTGCTTTTATTATGATTGAAGTTAACTATCCTGTTATATACTTAAGGGCCTTTGTTTGTGAAAAACTGCTTTTCTCAGTATGGTTAGGGGTTTTTGTTGGTGGTAGTGCTCTTTTTCATTTTGTTTTTGTTTTTTTATATTACTGAAGTTTGAACTCAGGGTCTCATTCTTGCTAGGTAGGCACTCTACCACTTCAGCCATGCTCTCTAGCCCTTTCTTTTTTATTGTATCTCTGTTAAAAAAAAAAACAGAATGTTAAGACTGTTTTATCCATGGCATACTTTCCTAATATTCTAATCAATTTATTATTTTGATTTGCTTATAGAATTTTGTTCTATATTTTATATGAAGAAAAACTTAATCATTTTTTCCTGATACCGTTACTGGGTTTTGAGTAAGTCTACACACCCAGGTTATAAAAGAAATCATTCATGTTTTCTCTTACTTCCTGTATTATTAAAAAATTTAATATTAACCTCTGACATATTTAAAGTTTGTTCTGGTATATGATGTAACGTATGACTAATGTGTTTCTCTCAAAATGATTATCCTTTTGTCCTAACACCATAAACTTTTTCCTAGTAATTCTTCCATGTATGCTTACAAATATGAATGAAGTTCATATGTTCTAACCATTTTCTTTCCATAACTAAGCAATGTTTATACCTTTATGCCAGTTGCATAAAGGTCCTTTCATTTCTTTCAAAACAGTTTATAATTTCAAGCTTTTCTTCTTTTACACTCACTAGCAGAAATTTTACCACTAGCATGCTTGTGTGGCACTTACAAACCCCTTTGCTTACTCGTTTTCTGGAATACAAAAGTTTAGGAGGAAAAAGAGCACCATGACAGGAAGGAACTAAGCATAAAACGTTCATATTCAAACAGACTTCAGACAAATGTAGGAATAGTATCATTACAGAAAAGTAAGGGTATCTGGTCAGTGTTCAAAATGTTCAAATATACTCACAAAAATAACTAATGTAATTCCAAAATTCTTCTAAAAAGAACTGGGTTCAAAACATTTCACATACCAGAAAACTCCAGGTACCAAAAAGAACCTAGGAAATCATGTAATCAATCTTTTCATTGTACAGATGAAGGCATTAAGGCCCCAAAGAAGGTGTGGTATTCCCAAAGTTACACAGATAATTAGTGGCAAAGCCTATCATAGAACACTACCACATCTTGTAATTCACTGTATCCTCTAATTTCCACTCAATTAGGGTACTTCTCTGTTTGTCTCTGCTAGAAGGCATCCTTATTCTTATGCTGATGTATTTTCATATATGGTAAAAGTAGTGGGCACCATAAGCCATAGTTACACTAGACATTACTAATTATTTTGCAATTTTACTAATACATTTCATTTCAGTCACTAAATAAATTTTTACTGGTTAGTAATAGATAAAGGTTTCCCATTCAGTTAAGTCATCTACTTCTGTGATTTAGCTGTCACTTACACAAAGATTCATCTCATAAGCGTAAGTATTTATCTGCACCAGTAATCAAGTAAGAAATAATACCTTAAAACAGTTTGCAACCACCAGTATGGTGTTAGCCCCACCTACTCCGTTCTGGACCCCAGCACCCAAATTCTCCAATGCAGATGATGGCTCCTCCAATTTCTCACCTGTTTAGGTTCATCAAGCTCTCTCTCCAAATCCTCCAGGACAGTCACCACTTCCTCCCCACTTCCTGGGTGATGCTCCTGCACCCAGGCCTGCAGCTCCTCTGGCAGGATGGTCAGGAACTGCTCCAGCACCAGCAGCTCTAGGATCTGCTCCTTGGTGTGTATCTCTGGTGTGAGCCACTCATGGCAAAGTTCCCGCAGCTGGTTCAGAGCTTCCCTGGGCCCAGGTGTCTCCTGATAGCAGAATTGCCTGAAGCGCTGACGAGACACTTCCCTGGAATCAGACAAATTCTTCTGCTGGCAGGACTCTTTATCCCAAACGTGATCTTCTTCTTTAACCTTTACTTTGATAATCTCCCCTTGTTCTTCCGAAGCCTGGACAGCCACAGCAGGGAGAGGCTTAGAGACTTCCTCCATCCCCGCTTACACGGCTCAGAGAAACGCTCTCTTCAGCTGTGGTCTGGGCAGACGGGGGATCTTACCTGAGCTCTTTTTTTGTCCCGATCAGGAAATTTTTCGACATAAGAAAACACTACGGAACAATTATGCAGTTTAAAAGGAGTTGCTTGTGTCACAACACAGGAGTTACTCTATTCACAGCCCAAACCGGAAAATAACTACTCACTAAAGAAACGTGGTCACAAACAAGAGCTACAGGATACTTGTGAGATAGGAAACTTCCGTTATCAAGGACACTGTGGTCCTAAATAAAGCCTGGATATACAAATCACGGAACAACAAGGACGGTAAAGTAAGGAGAATAGAAAGTCGCCAGAAGATCAGAGCTCCCAGCCGACTGGGACTGGGCGGAGAGGAAAGGAGCTCCTACAGCACCACAGGTGCCTGAAAAGGAGGCTACGCGCAAGAACCCTCCCCTCACTCACAGATTCCACATCTGAGCTCAGACTCCCTGGAAAAGTGGGCGGCAGAAACACTTCCGGGTGAGGTGACTCCGTGCACGCAGCCGAAGCGGGGCCGAGGCTCACTTCCGGTCCGCTCTAGCATTGCAGGAAGTGCCGTCATCTCAGTGGTTGTGGTACAGTGCTTGTAGAGTTGAAGAGGTGAGTTCTTTAGCAACTACAGAGAATTAGCTCTGGAGTAGCCCAGTTATCTGTGATGCTGGTGAAAAGAGTTTCACAGGGTGAGCAGTGCTGGTGTAGAGGCTGCTCTGGTTTTTCCCGTCACTGTAACGAACCGCCTTTGGCACTCATCTTGACCACTCTCATCCCAGCGACCTAAAACAACGTGCAGGAGCATGCCTGCACTTCTGTAGGCTCCTCCTCCACCTTTTCTCGTTAATTCCGGGCCCTTCTCTCCGTTCCCAGTCACTAAGTCGTACTTGAAAAATGACTGTAAAATCTAATCCATTATCTCCAGTCACAGATGAGAAAACCAATACCCATAGTGAGCTTTCTCCTGATGTAGCAGCAATCAGCCATTTCTGCCATGTCGGATTCTTGTGAGCCCGTGATAAACAGTCGTGAGAAACTGGCCTCCGAAAATTAACAAACAAAATCCCTGGACGGATTTTCAGAGCTCTGCGTATCATTAGTATGGATTTACCAGATACTTCCCATGTGGCGCATGCTTCTAGCGGTGTGCCCTAGGAAAGGTATTTGGAGGGGGGTGCGGGGCTAGGGGGCAGGACGGGATGCAGTCATTTAACCACCTCTTTGTAAGAGGGAAAGGCTGAGAGTCTTTATTCCTGTCTCCTGCATGGAAAGCAGGAAATGTTTCTCCCTTTCGCGCCATTTCTTCCCCACTTCTATCCTGCTTTTACTAAATTCCTTCCCTAATAAACTTTAATACTACTTTCACAAAAAAAAAAAAAAAAAGGAGTGGGGGAGGAGGTTGTCTGCAACCACCGGATTTTGGAAGGAAGCACAGGAACTCTCCCACATGCTTGGATTCCTCCTTCCCCTCACCTCAGCCTGCTCTGTGGCCTTCTTAAGAGTGCTGAATAAATAACAGATGCCCAAGGAATGTTGTTGAATGGCCCCTCTTCATTCTTTCTTTCCTTTGGTGTCTATAGTGATTACTCACATTTTAAGACTCCTAATTTGAGAGGCTTTGAATACAGTAATCAGAACAGTTCTGTCATTTGCTGGGGACATGAGCATAAAAAATTTTTCCAGTAGGTTTTCTGAATGCTACCTTGTTAACAATCAACCTATTGGGAATAGTATGACCTAATAAAAATAACTGTGCAAGCTACAGGACTTTTCTAATAGCTACTCCATTACTAACTAATGAGATTTTATAACAGCCAAATACTCAGTAACATTGCAACATTTGTCATTGTACATAGCAGGGCTCTTTCTTGGCTACTGTCTGATCATCTCTTATGTTTTTATTATGTAGGGCTGATAGGACAATTGATTAAGCATCTTTTTAAAAGGGCTGTCTTGAAGAAAAATCAGTTTTAGAGGTGACCTTGATGTGCTGCGAACCAGTCATAACATGTAACAAAACAGTTCTGTCAAAAATCGATAAAAAATTCTTAGACACTGGATCTGTGAGTGGTCTTAACTGAGTCACTAAACCCAATGATATTGTACAAAAAGTTTGTCTATATGCGCAAATTATCAGATCTTCAAAAGACAGATAGAACCACCCCATTCATTTTCTTAGCCACTGTTAAGGTGCTGAAATTATTTTTTGTGTTCTTCTTATAACCAGTGGCTGATCCTTTGCAGTCAGGAATTCTAAACCTCTTTCATAGCACTGTACAATCACAGCCATGCTGTGTACAGTAGGCAGTCAACATGGAGTAAATGTGACTTATAAGAAAGGGCATTGTTTTTTTTAGAAATTCTCATTTTAATTACAAATCTATATATATTTGTAAAAGAAAAAAATCAACTATCACAAAAGTGAACAGGGCAAAAGGTGAAAATTTGTTCCTTCATCCCCAATTCAATTTCTCAGGAAAATTTGCACTAAGAGTTTGACGTGTATTCCTCCAATCTATTTAAAAATGAATGTATACACTTACTAATTATGATTTACAAATATGCATAATACTATACGTTACAATTCAGCAAATGGATAGGTTCTGTTTAAAATTTAAATCCTCCCCAGAAATTGTCAAACCAACACATGGGTACATACATCTGTCGTATTCTTTTTAGTGGCTGTGTATTGCTTCAGTTAAATAGACTGGCACATTTGCAAGTCTGTGGTATTGCCATAAATATTCTTACACATACAAGTTTATTTTTTTGTATTTTTGTACAATTAAAGAAGAAAAGCTGCTGAGATACAGATTGCTTTGATAGATATAACCAGACTGCACCCAAGAATGGTATTTGTCATTAATGTAAATGTGTCAACCCCCTACTTGTAGGGCCCTTTTCCATGACCTTGGGAAGGGTTACTCTGTATAAAACATGTTTTTGTAAAATTTATACAAGTATGCTTTTATAATGGGAACTGCTTAAGACAGCTGCCTCTCTCTACTCCAGGTTTATCCTCAGATACATCATATAGGCCTTGGAGTGGCCTATATGTATTGTTTTTCTAAAACAGGGCCCTCTAAGTTATGTAAATTGCAAACCTCAGAAAATCTAGATCTGCCCCGTTATCTTCCCAAAGCTAATCTGTGCTCCCAGGAGAAACGCAAGAGAGTACAGCGATCGCTTTGAATAAATTTTGCTTCTGAAACAAAGCATTAATTGTCTTTATCAGCATAATCTCATCAAGCCCGACCCAACTCTTCCAGATTAAAACTATTGCAAAGTTCGTGCTGGAGAATATTTTTAACCACGACTATGAATACATATTTCTCTTTTAACAGTCGGTCCCATGGTGTAATGGTTAGCACTCTGGACTTTGAATCCAGCAATCCGAGTTCGAATCTCGGTGGGACCTCTGAAGAAAGAACCTTTTATACTTCCTGGGTTGACATTTAAAGGTAGAAAAACTCGTTCCTCCGCTTTGGCTTTCCCTCTCTATATATCAAGCACTTTCAAAGTGTTCCTGGAAAAAGATACTGCCTCCACCGACCCAGCAACAACGTGATACAGCCACTGCCTCAGCCTGCAAGGTTGGAAACCCTCCTTACAGCCCCCTCGCTCCAAAACCACCGCGAGCATCTTGGACTGTGGACCTGACATCCCAGGTCACTTCTTCCCATCTCGCTGAGACGATTCACCCTCATCTTCCTTCTCTTGATCCTTCTCCGTCCCTGCAACTCCTACAAAGCCTGCAGCTCTGAGCGCCGGAACAATCCCCTCCACCCCCCGCCCTCGCTGGGCACCTACAAGGGAGAAACACTTCTGGCAGTACTGATTCGCGACTGCTAAGCGACCCAAGGCTCCCCACAGCGTGCATGCGGGTAGGACGCCCTCTGTCCGCCGCAGCTCTCCAGGCCTCTCGCTTCATCCGCCGCCAGCACCAGGGTGAAAGGGAGGAGACCTCAAATCGCGTCTTCTGAAACCGGAGCTGACGCTCGGACAGGAAATATACCCTGGAACCCTGAGTGCGTAGACTAGGAAGGTCCTGGAGATACAGCTGATCAAACATGGAAGGCAGTTAGAATGAGGAGGAAAATGTGGGCAGGGGGCGGAAAGATTTTCTCCTGTAGGATAGGAACTGAATTGGGAAGAAACAAGTAGCCACAAATAAATCACTTCTATGTCTTTAGGGGCAATCTTTAAGTGATCTATTTTTTAGATTTACTTCTTAGTTTAATTTTCCCATGCATAACAGAAAAGCAAGTGGAGTCCTACTCTCATCAGGTCTAGTAACTTATTAAACCCCAAAGATTTCATTAGCTCATATTATGAATTACCTTTGATTACACAGAGACTCTGTAACAAGTTTTCTAAGCTTATGAAAACATTCTTTGTATTCCCATTTATGGATGCTTGATTATACTTCCATTTATGTGCAATTTACATTTAATTGCAGAGGCAAATAACTTTTTCCTTGTGGTGTTGCCTTAACAGAAGTGGCCCTTCTTCCTTCCTCTTTGCTGATGGTTCTGTGATGAGGTCTCACCCACGTATTCTCCCTTTTCTGAATGGCCTGACACCCTTCCTTACCTGTGTAGGATGCTTGTAACCCCTGCCATTCTTCCAACCACCACCATACCTAGGCTGTGGTTCTCTTAGGGATTCCCCAGCACTAGCTTCATACCCCAAAGTTGACTTTTCAAAAGCTACCAGATCCTCCTCGACCATTGTGAGAGTAACAGAGGGTAAAACAAGTTCTCAAAAATTAAAAGAGAATGTAATGGTGTGATGATCGTGATCACATCCATCATCAAGCATCCACTTGTCCTAACTCAAATCCAGTAACTCAGACTTTATCTCCAAACCTCCAAATTAAGGTAATAGAATTGGCTGTATGTGGTGCCTGTACCCAAGTGACCTAGGACTAGAGAAGAGGCAGATGTGATAGGGAAGCAGAATCAGTCACAGCCACTGCAAGGGACTGGGAATACATATAAAATCTTTTCCTGCTGGGCGCTAGTGGCTCATGCCTGTAATCCTAGCTACTCAGGAGGCAGAGATCAGGAGGACTGTGGCTTGAATACAGCCCAGGCAAATAGTTCCATGAGACCCTATCTTGAAAAACCCTTCACAAAAATAGGGCTAGTGGAGTGGCTCTAGGTGAAGGCCCAGAGTTCGAGCCCCAGTACTGCAATAAATAAATAAAGCTTCTTCTGCTGACTACCATGTTCTGTGGGTCTCCTATTCCTTTAGGAAGCTGAGGGAATCCCTGGGAAAGAGGTAGGGGATTGGAAGGACTCCATCCTTGCCCAAACTTTAGTTAGTTAGGCGTCTCTGAACCTATTTCCAGAACAGGTCTCGTCATTGGGCTTTCCAGCCCAGCTTTATAAAGCAAGACACCTGCTAAGGCAGTACAGTCAGAATCCCTCATGCTTGATATCCAATTAAGTT